TTCTAATAAAATGCAGGATCCAATCCTGCATTTTGTTTCACTTAAATTCTCCAAGTTCAACTGAAACCGAAGTAATTTAAGGCTTTCAGTACAAGAGTGGTTAAGTTAGGGGTCGAAGAACGAAATCTGCTGCTGCCATCCCAAATTGAGCAAGCAGAAGAGATAGTAATGCTAAAAATAGCTCGAGCTTACCCACACATTTCCCAGACAAAGAGAACCCACCATTGCAACTTTAAAGTCATAGTCTGAAAGCCATCATTCTCATTGCCCTTATGTAGGGGCTTTCATACTATGTAACACATAACACCTGCATCTTTACCAACAATACAACAGCCAGACTTTTTAGAACAAAATAGTTAAATGGCATTAGCTAATATAAGGGGTGTTTGGGCTTTTTTGTAGCTACTGTGAGCATAGGAACAATTGATGCTGGTAAACATCTCTCATGCACCTGACTGTAAATGAAGAACAATTATGGAAGAAGGAGATATTTAAAAGATCTCTGCACTACCCATTAACTAACTCAGCACATCAACAGTAATAATGATTAAGATTTTGAACACAGCTACAGAAAACAACGTGGCCTTCACGACAGTCATCATATAGCCAAATGATAAATATGGAGTCTAATAATTAATAACTACAAATACAAGAATTTAAAATGAACATTGCTCTACACAAGATATAGAGCATAACAGCCAATACACCTGAGTAGCACAATTAGCTGAATCAACTCCACAATGACTGAAATCTGTACTTCGTATTAACAATTAGACAAGGGGAAACAATCTTCCCAATGTTACATACTGGCATGAGAACTGCAGTGGCCCACACTCTGAAGTTCTGTGATGGCAAAAGTCTCCTCCCACACAAATGCAGCTCTAAGTATTCCCATATATACTAGCCCACAGGGACACATTCAACACTTACTGGGTTTTAAGAAATGCTAATGTCCTCTTGCCTCCGTCCCCACTAAAGCTAACAGAGCCTTTTTAATAGCAAGGGATGGGCAGAAAAATTCTGGGGAGACTAGCTGGAAACCTGAAGTAGGATGCTAAAAAACCCAAATCCTTAAACTGACAGTTAGCTTGCATATACTGCTATTGTTTCCTCTTTGCCAAACAGAATATACTTCAAAATCATTGGAAAAATGGGGTTAACATTTTGCATAGGCACTTCAGTTACCTGGCTCACATTAACAATCAACTAGGCTAACATAACAAACAATTCTTGCTACTCAAACTGGCATCATTGTAATGAGCTTCAAATTAATCTCATCCGTACACAATCACTAATCTTGTTTTGTGCCAACTGAATTTTTAATCAGAACAGAGTGAATCATAGGTTGTTTTTAAAATACATTTCTAATACTTGTCATCCAAAATGAATAAACACTAGAGCAGGGAAGAACTTTCCTATTTAGATTCTGAGAAGCTGATTTTATTTATGCATACTATACACACAAGTATCTAATGCATACAATAGATGAGGACATTTTTAATGAAAAAAAAAGTTTATATCTGATAATGCTTTGAGCACAAATAGCATCACCAACCTAAAGAATTTAGCCCTGTGACTAATTAAAACTGTATCACAAAAAGGAACAGTTGCACCTCTGTTGAGTTGCTCCTCAATCTCTACATCCTTCTAGAAGATCAAAATACACACAATCAGACTCTGCAACCAGCACAGTAACTAGTTCTGGTAAGGCATGTACTGAAGCATAAATTTTGCAGTGCTGAACTTGAGACTCAACCTGAGTTTCAAACTGAAGTGACTTTAATATTTGTGCAAGACATAGAAGAAAAGCTGAGTTTCAATGAGCATTTTCAACTTGATTCTGCAACTGCAATACCAATTTAACAAAGCAGCTGATTAGCTCTGTTTATAACAAGAGTGCTCAACATATCACCTCACTGCTGAAACACAGGCCCAACCATTTAGGAATTCTTTGGAAATAAAAAAGACAGTATGAAGACTTCAGCTACAGCATCTACTTTTTAAAATACAGTATTTCTGCATCTTGTTTTAGCTGTCTGGCTAACAGCTGCTTAACTGTACACCTGTTACCATGCTTAGATGAAAATCTAACTTGAAGGTCTACCCATGCCCATGAAAACTGAAGGAGTGACTGAAGCGATCTGCAGAACAGCCATTCAGACATCTTCAGGGAGGTCTGCTGACAGCCTCTATTACAGCCACACGAGCTTGAGGAATCTGGAGTACCTGGTTCTCATTTCAAGCTAAGCATAATGCCTGACTCAAGCTATGTAACAGCATGTGATGACTTCTTGGAAAACAAGACAGGTGGATGAGAGCAGCGCAGGAAGGCTCAGTGTCAGAATTCCCACAGATCTGGCAGCTTAGTACTTAGAGACTGCACTCCTCATTTAATACCATCTACATGCTTTTGTGAATGGTAGATTCTGTTTTGATTGCCAGGAACTGTTGCATCAAAAGTATTTGAAGATTGCTCAAGATTAAGAGCATTAAATTACACTCAATGTGCTAACCTATTTTTAGTCAGTAGAAAGATATGTTAACACATTAAAAAATTCTGCTAATATCTTAGAATTCAATAAAAATTATCTTCTTTAAACAGCTCTAAGATCTGTGGAAAAGGGGGAGTTATTCAAATACTTAGCATAATAAGCAAGTTATTGTTAACTTAACATTCTGAAGAAAGACTTCACAAACCATGTTGAACATTAAAAGGCAAATGCAAAAATACACCACATAGACTATAGCTGCAAGGCAGAGATAACATGCTCTGATAACATCAGGATGGACTGCAGGAGAATAACCAAGGACCTTATCAAAAAAGGTTACATTTACATAGTGAATACTATAGCAAGGCATAATGACTAAAGGAAAGCTGTTGGCTTGCAAATTTCTTCTTTGGTTTGTTTTTAATTAATTTTAAAATAGACTGTTTAATATCTCATTATGTGTCAAGGAGCAAATGGCTCTTCAAGCCGCTTTCCAAAGAAGACACTCCCAAAAGAAGTATCATTAATGAACAATGTAAGAAAGAAAGAAAACTAAGGATGTTTTTATCCTTGCAGGTTGCCCTGTGGATCACTAGTGCTGGTGACTTCTTTTCACATGAGAAATATGGCATCTTATCAAACTCCATCTGAACAGCATTTCTGCAAGATGCCCCGAATTATCTTTATTTAATATCTCATTTGTTATTTGTTATTAATTTCAGCTTTCCAGCACATTAAAAAGTTCTCCTCTTCCTTTAATATCAACTGCCAAAAGCAGTTACTAGTGTGAATACTTCTCAGGAGGTTGTAAGATTGCAAAACTACAAAACAGAAAAGGGGGAATAGCAGAACTCGTAAATAAAAGAATGTGAAAACAATTCTAGAATTGTCATATAAAATAAAACCTTTTATATAAATGGGCCTAACAAAATAGCTATTCAGCAGCACCATGCATCCTTCCGAAAGGATTTTGTGAGTTTAATGGGAAAGTGATTGGGGGAAACAAAGAAATAAGACATTCACCTTTTAAAAATTCTGTTAGGTATGCTAAAAATAGTTATTAAAACCAATTCCTTTAAGATTGTGTAGTTTTTCAGTATAACTTAATGTGAAGTGAATACAGCTAAAACCAAAAAACAACACATCTGTCACGTCACATATGAAGGACATGTTCAGTTCTGTGGCCACTGCCTCACATTCTTCCCCTATGACACCTGTACCCCAAAACTGAACATAGAGCATGACAGCCTCTGACTTACTTTGGGGAGCTCCCATACCTCATCAATCACCCACCTGCACTGGAGCCATGCTAATAAAGCACCAAACAGGCTGCAGAAGAGGACTATGCAAAAAGCCTCTCCTCTAGCAAGGCCCTCGGCCATGAGAAGTTCAATTAAAAGACATTTCCCAGGTGCCTGTTTGTGCCAGTGATTCCCATATACCCTTACAGGTAGCCTATATAATAAAATATACTTTAAAGTGTCAGTTGCTTTTTGGGTCAACTTTCTAATAAAAGCTGAAAATTTTGAGAAAAAAAAGAAATGATATCATAACCTACTGTGTGGGTGACCAAGCAGGAATTGCAGCAGAGCTCCATGGAAAAGGCATAGTTTTCTGACACAGCCACTAAGTTCTGCACCATAACCACAGGCACTGGACACATATTGGAAAAAATATGCCCAAACCCTATTGACAAATGATACTGCTGACTCAGAAACAAAGCTGCAGGTCTGCAAAGGCAGCAGAATGAAGTCCAAAGATAGGGGGAAAGTAAAAGAGAAAAACACTCTGGGTTTCAAAATACCTTAGTGTGGCTTTAGTAACTACTAGTAACATCTGAGAGAGAAGCATTTTAAAAGTATAACCATTGTCAGCTTCTTCAAACAAGGCTTTACTACTTGAGGCTAATTTTGAATAGTGAACAAAATGCTTGGTTTCAGGTTGTGGTGTTCCTTTTTCTATAGTAATAAGACTGTGTAAAAATATTTTCTCATTAAGCTAATTTTTGACCCTCCCACCTTTTAAAAGGGCATTTCTTTGTCTTTATGGTAACGCTACCACATGTGAGCAGATATCTTTCTTTGACACAGTGGTTTCAACAACATACAACCTGGTTTTATCCCTCCTCATTGGAAAACAAAAATCAACATCACTACACAACACTGTGCTACTTTTTCTGGAATGAAATGCTTTTCAAAGACACAATAGAGCAATCCTTTTTGCTGAAACAGATCATCTTTTAGGATGGACAGATATTAAAAAGACATTTTCTTAAAGATACTCTGAACAGTTATTGTAAATTTCATCTTGTCTTGATTAAATTATTTTTTAAAACCCTTACATTTATGGATTATTAGAAGACAAAGTGTTTATACTTACATAACAGTGAGATGAAAGTTGGGGTTTTTTTTCTTTATTCTGCACTGTTAGCAAATTCCTATTGCTGAAGCTATTCTAAAAAAGCCAAGTCTCTTTGGATGGTATAAGGTTCTCAAACAGTGAAGTACTTACATGCAAGGCAGAAGGATCTGGCAAAAATTCAGCATCCTCTCCAAAGATAAAATCTGGTGGCAGGTCAGGATAGTGAGCATTGAAAATTATATCCCCTGAAAAGTAATAAATGAAAACACTGTTTGCACTTTTATGTATGTGCTTATAAATAAATAAATAAAATATTGTACATATGATACACATTTTTAATGTAAAATTTGATCATTACATTAAATATACTTCATGTATATAGCCATATAATTTTTACAAAAATTCACATGCAAGATAAGCATCAGATGTTTGGGGGAATGAAGTCAAATTCCTGAGGCATAGCTTCTTCCGCCTCTGCAAGCAATGAAACACGAAATACATTATTGCTTCATATCTCAAATGGCAATTCAAACACTATTGAGGGTTGCCTCAAAACACCAAGTTAGAAAAGTGATCTTATTTTAAAAAAGGACTACATTTAGATTGCTGTGTTTTGCATATTAAGTCAAAGTCAAATGCAAACTACTAAGATCAGGATTTTCAAAATACTGGAGCTTTTAAAACTTAGCACCTACTCCCTCTTCTCCTTGCCACTCACAACTCTTAGAAGGAAGAATACACAGTTCAATAGGAATCATTCCAATTATCCAAATTCTGGCCAAGAGAAATGCAGTATTACACATTTAAATGGAGAGACTAAAATTAACTAAAAATATAAAACCATCACAGCTCAGCACTGAGTTCTCATCTTGCCAGTGTCACAAGATATAAAATTAATTACTGATGTGACAGATCAAAGAAATTTGGCTTATATTACTTCACTAGTAAACATACTTCAGAATTCATATAGGTAAAGAAGCAGTCATCCACATGTGAGCTCTTAAAAAACACCCACAATTCAAGGAAAAAAAAAAAAGTATCTAGCATTACTTGTCTACCTCCCAATCACTCTTTCCTCTTTATAAAGGTATGAAAGAACAGCTCCGAGCTTTTGCATAAAGCAGATTTGTGAGGTAGCAGGCATTAGAAGAAAGAAGTCAATACCTACTATTTGTTACCACTTGTTTAAAATCTACACAGCAAAGTAAAACCAGTGTGGTACGCCTTATAAACAATTCTGTTCAGAGAAAGTTAAACCACTTTTTATTTTTTCAAAAAATTATGAATGCAGAACTAGAGAAAAGCATTAGCTGAACAAATCTTAAAGCATCACATCACTGGTTCAGTGATGTCACCATCTCAAGACATTCAACATGACAGTTTTAATTTCTAATATTCTGTAAACTTATCTTGGCTCTAGCTGGAAGCAAGGATGCCATAAAGATTAATTTGCAGAGGATGAGGGCTCATGACCAAGAAGCCAACGGCCAGTCTGGGATAGGTATGCTCTACAGTATCACTCCAAATCATGAACTCACTGATCATGCGACTCAGTAGAGCACAGTGTGGGTTTCTCCTACCTGCACTCCTACCTTCCTTTCTCTTTCTGAAATGTCAGGAACACATGTTAAGTATGGGGTGCAGGAAAGAGCAGAGGTCTGCCACTTAAAATATCCAACACAGCCAACATAAAATCGATTTTTTTATTTCATTTAAAAGAAGAACAAAACAGGCACCAATTCTTGATGAAACCACATAAAATTACAACAGGAAACGCACCTATATTATGTAAGAGAAAATAATTACTAGGCTGCCTAAACTGTAATACGGCAACGAAGAATTCAGAAAAGTTGATGTTTACTAGACTGGATGGTTCCTATGCCACCGTAACTCAACCCTTTTCTTCATATTTACTACAATTAAAAAGTCATGTATGGCTCTTTACAACAACCTCACCAATTTCTATGTACAGAGCAGGCAACTCTTGAGGTTACATGTTGAAGGGGATAGCACCTTAATACTTTCTTTGACTGAGGTTTGCTTCATAGATAAAGAGGCATTATGAATAACTTAGAACACAGCACAATGAAAAAGCCTGGCCTGTGCCTTCGGTAGCCTAATGCTACTCTGAAGGAAAGAATTGTATCTGTGTTTTTGCCACATTCTTACGTGATGCTAAGTAGCTCATTTAACACACATTTTTCACATCCCAGTTGCTAGTCGCATGCTTTTCGTTCTCTGCATTCCAGCTTTAAAAGAGCTGACAAAACAGAGGACTCATAGCTACAGCTCAGCTCACTACAAGCTGCACTCCAACTACATAAATGCTACAAAGAGCTGCTTAGAATAAAAGAAGGATCAGAGTAACTGCATATTTTTTATGTTACACCTCCATGTTTGATTTAGTGAAAAACTATTACAGAATCTTATATCATGAGATGGCTCCAAGACTCTGCTTAGAGAGTGACATTGGCAATAAACTGTATTCACCTCTGCAAGCTACACAGTAACAGGTGAACCTCAGGAGAGTTGTGACAGTAGGTGCAATGTGAAGATTGAAGCAGGTACAAACTTTTTTCCCCCAGCGTTTTCAGTTCTACAGCAACGTGAAGTGAAAAGAACTCACAGCACCTTCCAGAACATAATCATATACAGTGCTCAAGTATGACAGTAAATTAAAGTTGGCATTATTAGTTTAACATGCTAGGTGGTAAACTTTTACAATTCGGGGTTCAGGTCAGCTGCATATCCCATGCAGTGATTCCTGCTCTGGGACCAGGGCCAACAGCTGGGGACAGTATCCTCTTTGACCACTCAGCTATGATGGGTGGCCACACTGAGGTCAGCCACCTCATGGTTGCAGCAGGCCAAACCAATCTATTACCTCTCTCACATGCTCATAGTTCTTCTTTACTACCTTCCATCACACCCCTTCTTCCACTTAATATTAGTGTCGTATCACTCCTTATCTACAGCAAGTGACCAACTGTGCAGAAATTTTGGTTTAAAAATTTTTCATGACCTATTGATATCAAACAACTATTCAGTACAAGGGAGAGAATCCAGAGTCAAAATTAATATTGTGATATTAATATTTTCTGTTACTACTACTTATAATTGCTATAACTGCATCTAGTTAGTTGCCCAGGGTAAACATGCCACAAATCCAAATTCCCAAGTCCCTTTAGTAAAAGTCATTTTGAGACCAAATATATCAGCATTAAAGCCAATATGTATCACAAGATTATTTTTCTCTATAGTATAGTCATTTTCCAAAAGGCTACATAGTACATGGCTGAAGGGTTCTCCAGGCTTCAAAATAAACAAAACTATTATTTCAGTGCCTGGTAATCAATCAGTCACAAAACACTAGTGCTGAGACAATACTCAAAACATTTTACAACCCTGTGGAACCTAAAAAATCATGCTGTTGTCCTGATTTTCTCACTAAACCAGAAACACATCATTTAATGAATCATTAACACTCTCCTTCCTACAGTACCATAGGTTTTTTAACAAATGTAAACCTTAATTTATTCTGCTACAATCAAACCTCACACAGGCTGGGTGACAATCAATAAAGACAAAAAAGTTCACAACAAAATGGTGTTTCGCTTCCATGTAAACAGTTAGAAAAAAACAGTGCTTCTCTATCATCAGTGGTCTTCAGTTCATCAGGTAAATGCAGCCTCTTACTAGCAAAGATGATAAGGTCTGACCTTAGAACAATTTTTTCACGTGTTCAAAAAGGAAAAAAAAAAGCATCCCCTCAGTTAAATCTTATTCTATTAACTCTCACTTCTGCCATGAATCCAAAGACATTCATCTAGTTGCTAAAAGGAAAGAAAAAAAGAACCTTTTTTTGAACCATATTAGACATTCACCCGGGTGACCCCTGGCCTCTGTAACTTTTCTGCTCCATCCTCTCCCCTTCCATTCTCTTATGCCTTGCTTAATTTACAATACTAGGGCAGAAAAAGTAACACCTTTGACTCTAGAGAGCTTAGGTACCAAGGAATGACTTTGCCCTATTTGCAACTATGAGCATGAGCTATATTTTCATAAATTATATATTTTCAACAAAAATACACCATTACAAGTCTGACTAAAGACTAAGTGAATCAATCCTAAATCCAAGTTTTGTTCTTGTTACATGCCACAAACCAGAGAAATTAAAACTGCAGTTAACAGTTTGCTTGGCAGGGCTAGAACGCATAAATAAAAAACACTTCTATACACTCAAAGAAAAGATATTTAAAGAATCACAATGGCCAACACAACAGTCAATCTGGTTTTACTTCACATAAATATTAATACTAGTCTCTGCAGTGAGCTTACAAAATATAAGGTGTTAAATATTTTGAATCACCAGCTACCAGTTTGTGCTGACCTAGTAGATATATCCATTTTTTTTAACAACTACTTTATTTAATACTGACATGATACTACCTGTGGCTTACCCTTTGCAAATATAATTGTGCTGGGGTGAAAACATAAGATTTTTAACCACTAAAGCCATTTGCCAAATTATCGTGCTTAGAGTCTGAGAATGGTTACCATTTTAATTTTGAAAGCAAAACCACCAAAAAACCAATATAATCCTGCATTCTCTCCCCTTCTCACCTAAATGAAACAAATAACCTTTTCCTTGCATCTCCAGCAACAAAGTAATTTCTCATGTTCCAACTCTGTTTGCCCTTATTCTCTTGAGAGAAGGCAAACCGTGTGGCATTCCACAGCACTACTGACCATGACCATTCCAGTATAAGAACAATGCAAGCAAAACCTTCAGACACAGACCGTATTTATCTCATTTCTGTAGATGTACTAGCCAATAATTCAGTGGAATTACATTTCCAATTAAATACTACTACAGAATTTAAAATTATTTCAATAAAGTTAAAGCTATGGAGTCAACGATAAATTTAGAAGAAAAAGGATATATTATACATCTTTTGCTTTTCATTATCCAAAAATATTACTTTCTCTTCCTTTTCTCTCCTAGGGCAAACAGAATTAAATTTTGAAATATTTTGCTTTACAGGATTTCAAAGGAAAAGTTAATATGCTCCCAATAGACAAAAAGATAGAAATATTAATACTTAAATCTATCATTTCTTTTAACACACACATATACTGTTCTTTTCTAATCTATCAAAATGCGTAAGCAAGTCTAACAAAGCGGTAAGGATTGACTACAAGCAAGACAAGTGTAACTCTGAAACTGAGTATTTCTTAAATCCTT